TTCCGAACTTCACCAAGAGATTGATCATGCGAATGATGAGTTGTGAAGGACTCCATTCGAGACAGAATGCGCTGGTATCCCTGATGCTGCCAGTCGCGGATGGTCCATGCCTGACCGTGCTCACCAGTGCGCCCATTGGGATCAGTCACCCGCTGCCATTCCCGAAAAGAATTGTCTGGTAGATCAGGTACAGTTTCTCCGTGGTGCCATCGCTGAGGCTGTCCTGCAGTGTAGATCCGCACCCACTCCTGATCCTGCCAGACCGAGTATTCGAGCCATGGGTGCTGCTTCGAATCCTCGATGTCCATGTCGAAGTAAGAGGCAAGGCGTATCGCGGGCTCCGATCCAGCTGATAGAGGAACAAGCACCATGCACAACCATGTACAAGCAACAACCAAGCAAGGTATTGCAAGTGTGAAAACCACCCTTATTTTGTACGCTACCCCACTCGCGTGCGTCTAATCCTCATTTAGCTCGAAGATAGGTCTCGCCTTGGCTTTGCAGCTGTCGGAAGGATTAACAGGCCGGTATGGTTCGGAGACCCCAACCGTCTCCGATGGTGTGATTCCACGTGATGCACGTACAGGTTGATGAAGTTGGGAAGCGTGACGTGCGCGAGCTGTCAGTTGTTGAGAAATCCCCCGCCGCATCCGAGGATCTAAGGATCGCTTCTAACATCTGCGGTGACATACTCAATGCCGCGGATTGCGTGGCCACGCTGTGATGATCAGTAAAAGACATAGAATCAAAGTCATGACCAGCTTGAGGGGCAGCGACTCTCCGATAGCCCTCTGTGGCCCAGTCTCTTTTGTACCACATGGTGACATTGAGCTGCTCACCGTCTTGGTCCGGGTTGGGAGCATAGAACTCCCTCCACTCTCTATACGTGTGCGGTGGAGGTGGAGCATCATGTTCTTCATGTGGAGTCCATGATCCCGGATGAAAGATCTTGACCCACTGGGCATCTGGTTGTTGAGGATCCGGACACCAGGTACTCCAAAGTAAGGCCTCGGTGCGAGTGCGAAAGCCTTCCCACGTCACGAATCTGCCGTGAGCGAACGGTCGGAGCAGCCAGTTGGTGAGGCCCCCATGAATAACCTGAACCAGGCGAACGTCACGAATATCCATGCCTGACATGTCGCGCAGGTTGCCATGCGGAGTGTTGGCAACGGTCATGGGCAGGCTAAAGTTGTAGAGCTGATTGACATCAAACATGCCATCTCCAGGTGTCCAGTCAGGCGATGGTGTAAGCCAGGCTTTCTGAGGGCGAACCGGTAGAGCCGCAGGAGGTCCAGGTGGCGGTGTAGGTTGCGGAGTAGTGACCGGTGGTGGCATCACGGGTGGCATGAACTTCGTTGGCGTGGGGTCTGGAGGGATCGGCATCATGTAGTTGATCGCTGGGTGTTGGAATTGCTGTGTGGGACTGTGAGTCGATTGAAAATTGGTGGGCATCATCGGGAAATTGTTGGCAGAGTTGTAGCCGGAATTGTGTTGCCAAGATACCAGGTTGTTCCAATCCATGCCTTCCGAGACGTGGTGGTCATTGTGTTCACGTCGGTGTGCTTTACGAGCCTGAGGAGAAGTACTCCGATCACGTCTGCGCCGAGTCCTGGATCTATCACGATCATCACGTCGAGACATGGTTACACAATCGACTCTCAATCTTCACGCTTCCATCTTGAGAGACACGTATCAGACAACAAGCAAATCCATGCAACGGCAAGGTATCAACGAATCCAACAAATGGCAAGCAAACATCGATGGTGAGACGTCTCTATGATCTGACCGCTGTCTTCCCTTTAGTGAGACCTCGTTCCTGGTTAAATGTGAAATTCCGCTGTTCTATGATAAGCACGTTGAGGTCAAATTTTCCGACAGAGCCGGCCCGGGGTCACACAATGGGTACACCCGAGGATTCCCCACGAATGGGGTGTACACACTTAAACTCCAAATGGAGAGTGCTAATCTTTCGAGTACAACTGATGAGTCTCGAGTACAACTGATGAGTCTCGAGTACAACTGGGGACAAACCCCATCGGCTTGCTGGTCACTTGGCTTCCCTGTAGTTACTTCAACAGGGAAACAAGGAAGCAACAGCGGTTCAGGGGGGGACCAAAAGGACGTTCAGAGCATCACGACTTTCTCAAATTGCAGGTACGTCCAGAAGGCGTCCCTTCCGGATTTCACGATCAAACCATCACTGTCTTCGTTGGGCAGTGAGTGATGGCGATCCACTGCCCCCCTGCTGAGAAACCGAAAGGGTGGTGACAGGGCATTCTGTCACTCCGCACACACACACACACCCTCTATGTCTCTCAGACCTGCGCTCTAGATTTCCCCTGAAACAGCGATCCCCAGAACCCAAAGTGGGCGGCTGACGCTTGCTTGTTGGGACGGGGTTGCACATTCCCCGAGTTTTCCCAAGAGAACCCTTTGGGAAGGTGTCCTTTGGCTGTTTCTTCGGCGCCTTTCACACTTCTTGGACAAAGCATTGCAGATACGAAAATTGCCGTCGAAGGGGGTCAATACTTTTTTCTGCCTAAATTGAATTGTGGTCAAGGCCCTAAAGTGGTTGCCTCTTTGGCCAGCCTCAACAGGTCAGCAAAAAAAAGATGTCAACCTTTGCACACTGACGAGTTCAGAAATGCCACGTGTTTTTTTGTCACCAGGCAAGAGCGCCACCTCGGGTTCAGCCCAAAACCTCATGGTTTGAGGCTTGGGGATTCAAGGCCCTCATACAGGCAGAACCAAACCAAAACCTGGCTTCGGAATTTTGCAGGAGGTGCTGCGGGACCAGCTCGACAGCTTGCATCAGATCCTTCTGCACCAGCACCTCACAGAGCTCCAGAGCGCCAAAGGACATCCGGAACTCCCCACCCCCTTCAGAATGGAATTGGGGGAGGGGGGATTTCGACCCCTGGAGATCTCCATTTTGGGCAACCCATTTTCGCTTTTGTGGGGAAGACTGAATAAGTGGAGTTGTGGGACCCCCCACCCCCCTCCCCCTCAAGGTAGGGGGGACATCCGGCAGATCAGCCACCCGGGTCCCAAGAACGTTTAAATCCCCGGCCGGGCACGGGAACCAGAAAGCGGTGCTTGGGGCCTTTGGAAAGCACCAGGCGATTTTGGGCCTGGGGCGAAAAGCGGCAGCTGCTGTGCCGGGGTTTGTTCTTCTTTGACCCTTTTTGGGGTTGGTCAGGGGAAGGCCAACGAAAGCCGTACATTTTTTTTTTTGTCGGACCCTCATATTTTTTTGAATCGCAGGATCCCTGAAGAGAAGAAGGTTATGCTGAACAGGGGTACTGCGTTTCACCGTGGATTATAGGATGGATTCTCAAAAATCGATGGCGGGGGGAAAAGTCCTTTGTGTTTCCTTTCAGGACCCAAAAAGAAGCGCTTACCACAGCAAGTGCCGGGGACGGTTCCTGGAGCGGAGCCAACAGGTTTTTCTGAAGATATGTGATAAGCGGCTGGATGGGAGGTGTTTCTTTTAAAGCGGGACGAAACAATTCAGGCTTAGCCGTGACTTGATGGATTCTTGTGTCTGCCAAGTCTGATTTATAGTAGCTTGGGTTGACCGGTGATTAATTCCATACTTGACTTTTTGGTTGTTGGTTGACTTCTTCTTCTCTGCCAAACAATCATATCTATTCACCGGAACGTCTCCGAATTGGGCTTGGTTTGCCCCTAAGGATTTCCAGGTTTACCCTTCCACTTTCATTTCCCGGGCTTCCTTTGGAAAAGAAACGGCGAAAGGGCGAAACGGCTTGGGCCACTGGGGGCCAAAAGCCGCGCCCCGAAAGCAAACAAAAAAATCGGATCCAGAGATCGATGCGTCAGGGACCTTTCGGTTTTCCGAAAGGGCCGAGAAAGGACGAGCATGGATTTTTTGCCTTAGGGCTTTTTGGTGGCTCCCAGTCCGGTTCCTTAGCTTTTGAGATCCTTTTAGTGTGAAGTGGTAGTTTTCATTGAACCCACTCAAAGATTGTCACTTTTAGCGGGGGATCCGAAAACGGGCAGCCCAGTTTTTTGGTGGCAGGCGAGTTCTAGATTCTCTAGATTCTAGATGGGCGAAACCATCGTTTTTTTTGAGCCTGGCACCCCGGGCCTCAATGAATTGACGTCTTGGGCTCTGGGGGATGACATATCCTGCGCCGTGGTTGTATCCCCTGAAAAAGGCGGCGCAGTGCGGAACCAGGGCAAGAAAGCGGTAGGGTGACCTGACATATCACAAGGTCTAAATGCTTAGAATTGGGTTATGGATTGGTACTTTAAAGCCATATTAAGTCGTGCAAGGTGTACACTATTAAGAATTATGTTGCTCCAAAAAGAGGCCATCTTTTTCTGACAACTTCAACGGTGCACCTGGCGGTGTTGACAAACCCATAGAAGATCTGAGCGTTCAGCAAAGGTCCACATGGCTGTGGGTCAAGAATAGGCCAGTCCCAAAATGGAACCCTGGTAAGTGGAACGAAGGCACATTCGCTTGCGGCCTGCTTTAATTTCGACCCATATACACCCTTCATATAGTTCCCCATCTGGGTGGTTAAACTTTCAAACATGGGCAACTTTCCTTCTGACGCGGGCATGCTTTGAGGTTGGAAATATGGTTCACCCACCAATCCACTCAACCAAGCTCCTGGGCTCCTAGGGCATGTACATCGAAATATACGGGCACATAGGAGATCCAAACTTGAGGTATGAAGCTTGTGGGGTCCTGTTTCGCTTGCTCCCATCTTGTTGCCCTAGTATCAAGTTGGCCGAACAATCATGGACTTGCTGCTTGATCTACAAGCGCAATGTTTTTGACCCTCAATCTTCGATTCAGCACTCCTGACTCACTGGGTTGCTTCACACCATCACGCAGAACCTCGAGAATCTGAGGACACCAAAGATTCCAAAGGTCATAAAGCCATCATTTCTTGAAGCGGGCGTCCTCCACTGTTGAAGGTCATAAAGCCATGCTCCAAAGCATTGTTTTTTCTCAACAGCTGCAAGCT